ACCTGTTTTACCCTTATAATGTGAAGATTTTTAATTTCCTATCTTCTTACTGCTCGCAGACTAAGGATGATAATTTTTACAAGAAAAAAATCTATAATAGATTACTGTGCGTGCACACAGAACAAAGAACCTAATTATCAGATTTCCTAATAGGTCTAACTAAGTTCAGTGACAGTCCATATGCGCCACATGAGTAGAAAATTAAGACCAACTTTTAAAGTATACAATAGTGGTTGGCGCTATAAGGTCTAACAATTCCCGAGGATGCTCAATGGAGGGGTGAAAGACGTGAAGAGTGCTGTTTGCGAGATTCGTTGAGGCTTGTGCGTCTGCATGTTGGTTGGCGCGCTTTGCATTATGATTGCATTGCACATAATGACGGGGTGTAGGAGTTTCTAGATATCTAGATAGATAAATATTAGACGACATCACACACCAGGGTGTTTCACCTACCAACTTCGGTAGTATCAGGATACTACCGAAGTTATCACAACACTAAGATCTAATACAATATATAAAAATTTAATTTTCTGATCAGAGCGGGATCCAAACCAGGTTTCAGAGCCTTAACTCTGCTGCAAATTTATATACCAACCACATCACAATAGAAGTTCAACTACTTGCATTTTGCCTGTATGTACCTGAAGAAGACCCCACAAATCAATGGTGACAGTTATACCTATTCATCATTTTGTGATCTAGTAAACAAAACTGTCTCATACAGGGTTGTAGTTGAAGCTCTATTAACTTTTTATGATTACGCTAACATTAGGGTTACCGAATGTGAAAGTTGCTCGATATCACAGTTTCACAGTTGTATAATAAATAAATATTAAACAACATCATATAAGTATGGTGCTATGAATGAAGTTACCATAACACTATTGACCCGACCCGGAATAAAACCTGGGACCAAGTTCACATGCCGTTATCAGGGTATCTCCATCTCTGTTTCGGGATAGGAGACACCTTATTTTTTCAGTTTTCAAATAATACAAGTAACGTAGTGTAACAATTCATTTAGCTATTTAATTTGGGATCTGTGCAATGAATGTGTTGTCTAATATTTATTTATTGAATAATGTGACTTTTAATAATTTTTAATATTTACTGATACATTTTTATTTAAATTCAAATAGTTTTCAATACATTTAAAGTTGCCTTTTAGTGCCCCAAGCACTCTTGTCTGTCAATTCTGGATTCGACATCTCGTCGCCAATTTGATATATATTAACAATAAACGTAATTAATGTTGAGTATCTATTTCCATAATTTATTGGAAATCACATAACAAACGGAGGTTACTAAGCGATGCATATCGGACGTAATATATGACAGTTACCATTATTATTATACAAAATATTGTTATTATTTAATTTATTAGGATTATGGCAGACATTTTGTAAGCGTAAAATTAATCGAATCCGGTCCAACGTTAGCGTTTCATTTATGGAAATATTCAGTTTGGATTGAGTGATGAACAACTTCACAGTTGTAATTGCGTAGTGGTTTCTTTAATAAATTATCCGCATTGTGCTAATATAACCCTCATTTATATATTTTTTAATTACACAGAACCAATGTCTTGTGAAAATCATAAATATTTAATAGTAGTATTACAGATTAATATAATTTTCAGAAACCAAGTTCGAAACAAAGTTAGCGGTACACTTCCTCAACTTTACAAAAGTATGTAAATACACAAAACAATATTGAATTTAATATCAGGCAGTGGGCGTTTTGAATAATTATTTTAGTAATAGATTCCCGTAATATTGTGGTGACCAAATTTTTTTTTACGTACTTTAATATAGGTACTTAAATATAAAGTATGTAATAAAAAAAAAACAAATTTAAGAATATTCTAAACGTAAGTAAATTTACTTAGTCGAAAAAGAGTCTTACGAATTGCATCGTTAATTGTGATCGATAACCGTATGAAAGTCAGTTCAGCTATCTTATTCTCTTAGAATACAACATCGAACGTGGTGTCGCAAAAGCGCTGTCACAGCATTAGAGGTTCAAACAAATGAAAAGTATATTATATTTTGAAGAAGATTTTATTTATAATATACGATACGAATTTTAATAATTTCCGTGCGATGAGGGGCAGACGTAACGAGATTTTAAATTACAGCTAATTAATTTCAAAGCAGTTTCAAGAAAAAAGTTATGATTTTAATCACTTATGTTTTTTTTTTTATTGTAAAGAAAGCTGGTCACCCTACAAATCGCAGTTGAAGTTGGTAGCGATGACCCCAGTGGAGTTCCTACTTTCCTCTGAATAATAATATTGAAAGCTACCCACCGACCAACTCCAAGATATTGCAGAACACTGTAAGGATTATACTCTTCTCTTTAATATAGATTAATCGACAACAGACTAACAGTATAAATAACCGGTCGGGAAAAGTCTTCATTTTTTTGTATCTAGCTGGTTTTAAAAAAACTAATTAGTAAAATATCGTTTTCTAGCTATTTTGGATTTTCTTCACTCATTAAAGACGAAATTATATACATTTTAAAATGTCTTATATAGGAGAGAATATAAAAAGTTGGTTTGTTTTCTAATCAGTTGAACAGAATAGCAACAGGAGGCAATAAGGTGTGGTCTTTCATCAGAATAAATTAATACGCTAGATAACTCATTAAAAAAATACTTTGGCTAGAAGTTTAACGACAATGAAAATAACACATTGTAAAATTTAATCTTACTTATATTATGAATGCGAAAGTTTGTAAAAGTGGATATATGTACGAGTATGTTACTCTTTCAAGCAAAAACCACTGAACGGATTTTTTAAATTAGTTAATATAGTCACATATAGCCTACCGTTCCGTAGGACACATTGTAAGCGTACTGTACTGAAAACTATTAGGTAAGTGCACACATCAGCACGTCAGGTTACAACAATATGTCCAATTTCCACAAATGATTTTCAGTTCTTTGGTAAATGCATTAATGTTTAAAATTAAGTGAAAAATTTGTATGCCCTCACTTGCTCTTCACTGTATATATTTTGATTGTGATATTAGATTAGTTTTATAATTTAAGTTGCGAACATTCTTGTGCAAAATTCAGCGTACCGCTGTTACAGCTCAACCAAATAGTTTGATTGTATTGACTTCGTTCGCGTGGCATTTCAATCATGCCAAAGTAGGTGGAGGATTTAATTTAGTTTGTTTAGAATGTGTGTTGTTTATTGGGTAGGTTGTAACCTAATTAACTTATTCTTTTCATTCCAAAATTACACAGCCTGCTGGGGTTCCCAAAGATATAACTAATTAACAATAATATTTAAAAGAGACTTCGTAAACTTAATTGGTGTTATTTACTAGCGAGACAATGCATGACGATCACGACAAGCCATCATTCGCGCATCAGATTTCGCAATGGGCGCCAGAGACCTAGAAGCCAAAGTGCGTTTACGCTGAGAACGCAAGTGTGATTCTCCTTCTATGAACTAGTCTCTTGAGACTAAAAATTCCATGTGTAAATATGTTGAGAATTCAAGTGTTATTCACTTTTCGTGAACGTTTCCGACCTTCGATACAATCCGTGACGTTCACCTCAGTAGAAGATACTCATCAGGCAAATAAATTTTTACTAGAGCACCAGTTTTATAACTCTTATAGTAAAGCTGGTATGATGTGCTTGTGCATCAAGTCTTCAAATATCCAAAAATAAATTATACGCTATATGTTGCATAGGCTTAATAGCTATGTAAAAAAAGATTTATTCAAATCCGTTCAGTAGTTGCGTAGATAAACAGATAAATAGATAAGAGACAAACTGACAAACTTCTTTTAGATTCGTGTTCTATTACTGGTTATTAACCTCCTTCATTTATTTATTTATAAATATTTAATGTAAGTACATGCAGACACAACTTTGTTGCAGATTTGTTATAAGTTTAAATATATATTGATTATAATCGTTTAATTCTAGCATTATTTGTCTCTATTCTTGAACCAACTATTTACCAATGACATTGAAAAGATTCAATAGTAAATACCAGTTTAGTTGTGTAACAGGAACATATTAAAATTTATAAAATGTTCCTGTAAGATGAACTAAAATGTTGTATTGATGAAAAAGAAAAATAATGAATCTGTTTCGTTTGTTCAGAATGGAAAGACAGAAACTGACTTCAAAAGGTAACAACTAAAAGTTTTAATTAATTGAATTTCCTAAATGGCATTTCTCCCTGAATGAAAGAAATCAAGCTATAAATTTATAATGGTAAAAATAATGTAGTTGAATCAAAAGAATCCAAATACTCTTTAAACAAATCTGTCAACCTTTAGCATACGAGTTCAGTATTCAAAATGTTGTTAAGCGTTTTCTTAGAATTTTTACTAACTAACGTGTAACTCTTTCAGGGTAACTTCACAGATGTGTGGTTTGGCTAAGCACATGTCCCATTGTTTAACAATAGCTCCAATTCGTAGGTAGAAAAAAAACCCGCTCTCTGCGTCCATATGGCTTACAACAACAAATTCTTAACCAAAAGTAAACCAATGTATCCTTGCGTTCCGCATTTAGTATGGCAGTGCCTGCGCGCAGGCCAAAATGGCATAAAGTTTGAGTGCTTTTGTTTCCTCACCGGCTACAAGTGCTCGCTTCGAATTTATATAAATAAATAACAAATGAACATAAGACTACTATAGAATCAAACGTACGATATCGATATATTTATTTAAATAATTGAATTAACATAAACTAATAAGAATGAGCAGGCTGGTAAATCAACAGAACAGAATGTTGTTAACTCGATATAATGACTGTTGTATAAATTTTCAGTCTATTATACTGACAATTTGTACAACAGTTATTTTATCGAGTTAATGCGACATTACCGATATAAATTTTCATATTATTTTTTTATTTAGTTAAATTCACCTTTAATGGTGAATTTTAATTTGATGATTAATGAACGGCTGTGCCACTGTCCGTTCTTTTTTGGACAATATCTTATCTTTTTAAATTTGAATAATTCTTAATGATTATCTAGGTCCGACTGAAAGCCTTCCTCTACTTTATTTTTCGTTTTGAAAGCGTCTTTTTTCAAGTTCACTCTTGAACTACCGTGGGCCAAACTCCATAATATTTTCTTTCGTTCCATGTAATCTTTTTGTTTTTGCCTCTGCGATAGTATTGAATCACTTTGTTTTGCAATTTTCTGCGGATGGAGTTTCAAAACTTTACGTGAATCAATTTGATGAGAAGAACTTTGAATAGGATTACCCCCAGAACGAGTTATTCTCTTCTTGCGCGTATTTCTGTCTTCCCATTCTTCTAACATATTTATTAAATTGTCTATATACGCTGCTAGATGTTGAGCTTCCCTCAAGAAATTTAACAACTGAAATTTAACACAATCTTAGTAAATACTCATTTATTTCTCTGCTCTTTGTTCCGCGTGCTCTAATTAATTGAACATGATTTATAAAAAAATAATAAAAAAAAACACACAAGGGTTAACACAAAAAGGGTTCATGAGTACCACGGAATATTAATATTAAGTATAGTTTCATAATTTGATGATAGAATTAAGATAAAAACTACCCTTGCACAAACATTCGTTAAGATCTAATTTCGCTTTTATGCTCTAATGAAATTTTATAAATATAAAATTCGTATTGGTAATGTCGTTTTAAACTAATCTCAATTTTAATGAAAGTTCGTAGCGTGAACGGGCAAAGAGTCTAGTTTGTGTCAACATATACAATACATATTAAACACAGGTCCCAATAATAGGTGTACGTGTATAAAGGTAGGTACTAATTTATACGTACCTCATTAAATTTGAAGGTATTCTGGAACTGGTTGCATCTCAAGTAAATGTAAGTTAATCTTGTATATTTCAACCTGATTTGATGAACATATTCAGCAACTTGAAATGAAGCTCTCCTAAAATGATATATTTCTTTATATGTATATAAATCATCATTGTTGTCCCCACTGTCGGAGTACAGGCCTTCCCTATGAATGAAAACGAAACGAATCGAATAGGTCGAATGGGCCAAGACCCACTTCGCTGGCCCAGCGCGTGTTGGTGCGTGCTTGACGATTGCAAATGCGTACGGATATGAGCTTAAAGTGCCTTTCGAAGTACGGAAAAGCTGGAGATAATATATTCTTGGTCCATCCTATGATCGCCGAAGATTTGAAATGATTATATTGTGTGTATTTCGTACACCAAAGTCGTGTTTAAACTTGTTCTTCAGATACTTTGATACATTATTGTTTAAATATCGATACATTAAAACATAACAAAATTGTTCAAATCATAAACGATCTGTACAAGTTTAATAACAATTTGACTCCACATATAAATTAACCTACTCGATTAAATTCATGCATCGATCACGTCATAAGCAATTACTTACTTAACATACAATTAATTACTAATTATTAATTACTTACATATAATTACTACTTCTACGACTTGGTCTATCAGACCATGATACAGCTCAAATGCTATTCATGCCGAATTCAAAATATATTATTTCACTAACTAATTAATAAAATTACGAACTTGGGTATGACAATGATAATAGTGTTTAAAAATATATATTTAACCAATAATTAATAATAAGTAAATAATGTGACAGGATTGAGTAGCTCGGTGGCGTAGTGGATAAGCGCCGCGGCCCGCGATCGTAGTCGTTAAGCAACTTTCGCAAGGGTCGGTCACGGGATGGGTGACCAAAAAATTATTATCTCGAGCTACTCCGCGCTTCGGAAGGCACGTTAAGCCGTTGGTCCCGGCTGCATTTGCAGTCGTCAATACTCTCCAATCCGCATTTGGCCAGCGTGGAGGGTCGTGGCCCATCCTCCTTAACCATCCATAAGGAAGACCTGCGCCCCTGCAGTGGGAACTTAAAAGAACTGGTGATGGTGATGGTGACAGAATATTGACTTATGGTTAATTTATGTAGCTGTAACAGTAATGAAATATTAATTTAATTTAATATCTGCATGATATCGCTGTATGGCTAAATAGGTTTTAAACTCATATTTTATTTTAATTAATTGTCATCAAATTGTACCCTATTTAAGGGCAAATAAATAATAATTATTATTATTACTTACCGTACTATAAGTATGGTATAGTATTGTATTATATTTTGGTCCTGCATCCTATTAATATTATAAAGGCGAAAGTTTGTAAGTATGGATGTATGGATGTTTGTTACTCTTTCACGAAAAAACTACTGGACGGATTTGGATAAAACTTTACAGCAATATAGGTTATACATCAGAATAACACATAGGGTACTTTTTACTGGGAAAACTTCTCACTCCCACGGGATACCGACTTCCACGCGGACGAAGTCGCGGGCGTCCACTAGTACTGTATACTGTTGGAGAAATCGATAGTCTGCAAATCTACAATATTTTCAAAACCGATTTCTAAATATTATGAAAGCGTTTAATTTTATTAAAAGCGTTTTATTAACTTTTGATTATTGCGACAGCTTGGGTTTCTTTTTTAATTGCATATTGCTTATAAAATGCTTGGTTGAATAAAATATATATTTTGCGTGGACGCATTATGTGTATATTATGCTTTATGAACTATTTGGCAGTTATAATGTTCGGTTCCTGATCATACGATATATTTCGCTGAAGAATTGTTGCTAGCCCTAGAGCGCCCCCTGCAAAACTTTTTTAAGTTTCACATTTTTTATTACTTATTTAAATATCACATGCGAACCCGGTAAACCTTATTCCGCCCAAGAAAATTGAATGTAAAAATATAATACACTTCTTATACTCCATTCATTATAGCATTAGACAGAATGAAAATAAGGTTCTTTTTATGGTATACTTTGTGACAAAATGTCAACAATCATGTTTCTCTTAAGACTAACATCTAATTTGCCACATATCCACAGTTAAATACCAGCTGCTATATTTAACCGTTGTCTTTTAAGCTATATATTAAACAGATTTATGAGTATTTGACTGACTTAAAACATTTAATAATTATTACAATAAAAAGTGTTCATCTTAACGAACCTAAAGAAGCAGGGTTAGATAGTTTCGGCACGATTCTCATGTCACTATAACTCTACCAATTTTAAAACGTTTGCCTAATCCCATCAAACGTTTTGGCAGTACAGCTTTTTAATTTTGTCAGATTATTTATAATAGTCAAAATACGTAATCTGGAATTGTCATTCATTGTGAATGCCTTTCTTGTTGTTTTGCCATTCATTGATGACTTCCAGCCTCCCGAACAAGCCGGTTTCCGAAAAGGCTTTAGCACCATAGACCACATACATACGCTTCGGCAGATTATACAGAAGACCGAGGAGTATAATCTGCCACTTTGGTTAGCGTTTGTGGACTATGAGAAAGCCTTCGATTCAATCGAAACCTGGGCAGTACTGCAGTCCCTCCAGCGATGCCAAATCGACTACAGGTACGTCGAAGTGTTGAAGCGTTTGTATAGCAACGCCACAATGTCGATTCGCTACCAGGAAGAGAGCACGAAACCAATCCAATTGCGCAGAGGTGTGAGACAGTTCTGTTCACGAATGCATTGGAGGACGTCTTCAAGCTCTTGGAATGGAACGAATACGGCATCAACATCAATGGCAAATACATCACTCACCTTCGTTTCGCCGATGATATAGTCATCTTGGCAAGATCGATGGAGCATATCAGTACAATGCTCAGCGACCTGAGTATCGTTTCCAAACAGGTGGGTCTTAAAATGAACATGAACAAGACGAAAATCATGTCGAATGTCCATGTTGCACCCGTGCCGGTGGTCATTGGAACTGATACTCTCGAAGTTGTCGATCACTACGTGTACCTTGGACAGACAATCCAGTTAGGTAGATCCAATTTCGACAAAGAGGTCGCTCGAAGAATCCAACTCGGCTGGGCATCGTTCGGGAAGCTACGCGATATCTTCACGTCCAAATGACCACAGTGCCTAAAGACGAAGGTGTATAACCAGTATCTGTTGCCAGTGATGACCTATGACACTGAAACGTGGTCCTTAACTGCTGGCCTCTTAGAGAAGCTCAGAGTCGCTCAGCGAGGCATGGAGAGAGCTATGTTAGGGGTTTCTTTGCTCGATAGGATCCGAAACGTGGATATTCGCCAAAGAACTAGAGTGACCGACATAGCTCGCAAAGTTTGTAAGCTGAAGTGGCAGTGGGCAGGCCACATCGCTCGGCGAACCGATAACCGATGGGGACGAAAGGTTCTCGAGTGGAGACCACGAACCGTAAGACGCAGCGTGGGTCGACCCCCGACTAAATGGACGAACGACATCGTCCGAGTCACGGGCGGGCGCTGGATGCAGCTGGCGCAATGTCGTCCGTCGTGGCGTTCAAAGGGGGAGGCCTATGTTCAGCAGTGGACGTCTTCCGGCTGATGATGATGATGATGATGATGAGTTAACGCACTGCAAGCTAAATCGAATGACATGATCTCGGTCACATCAAAAATATCAAGGACGTTTTCAGAAATGACCGCGAGTTTCCTGATATTATAAGTAATGAAATACTTCTAAAAGCGCGAGCTGTTGCAATAGATTTGAACATAGAAATTTCGGTTCACCTCTTGCTCACAAGCAAACACATATAAATAATCCGCCATCAGACAATGATAATGAATATTGGCGGCGTTTCCTGATAATACCATACATTGATTCACTCATTTCATCGTTGGGAGAATCGACCCAAGAAAATACTACGGCTTTTGTTTTAAGTAAGCTACATCCCTTGCACATGACCAAAACCAGGATTACAGAGTTACACAAGAATACTGAATCATTTCAAGAATTTTATAACTTGGATATCCTTTATCAGATGATCAATTAAGGGACATAGAAGTAGTTGATCAGTTCAACGAAGCCAACATTTTTTACCCTGCTGTCAGAAAAGCATTGATTATTTTAAGCACTATCCCATGCACCATGGCGACCGTGGAACTGTCCTTCAGTACGCTGCGAAGAGTACAGTAGAGCTTAGAAGCACCATGGGTGAAGAAAGGCTTATGGGTTTATGTCTGATGAGCGTACATCGCAATTATTTAAAAGAAAAAATGACTGTCATAGACAAATTTTCGGCAAATCCGAGAAGATTACTGTTAAATTAATATATATATGAATATATCTATGAATATATATATAATTAATAAAAGTCAATTTTCATGATTTTTTGTTTCAATATACCCGACCGACCATCTTCTGGAAACAGGAATATATTACATAATTGAACGAATAAGGTAGAAGGTAACAGTATCCTTTTTCTATCAGAATGATGGTAAACTCTTTTT